ACATTGCTACTGCGCCGTGCACACTTGTCCAAAGGATATACCATGCCAGTTTCTTTAGAGCTTGCCTCTGATATGTACTCTTGTCTGTTTTCCGCAGGGACACAGCAGGGCAGGAACGATTTCACACCATCACCACCTCCTATTACAGAGGTGCCATGGGGATCATGCTAGTATATGACATCACCAATGCCAAGAGCTTTGAAAACATCAGCAAGTGGCTCAGAAACATAGATGAGGTGAGTAATGTCTGTAAGATCCCGGAATTGAGCTGTTTGTTGTGACCTGTAGATGCATGTGATGAATTCAGCTTCTGGATTGCAGCTTCTGCTTCCACCCTGGCAGAAGGCTTAGTGTGTAAATTAACACCGGGCTTTGGGTGCTGTTCTTAGGCTGGCCTATGCCCTACGTTCCCTCCCTCAATTTGCCCTTCAATAATGGCATGAAGGATCGCAACGCTACGCAGGGGCTAGCGGTGTCCTCAAATCAAATTCACACACGAGCAAACTTTGTTTCTGTGCTGGAGAATACTTAGAGGTCAGGAATACATCCTGTCGTAACTGGGAGTTGCAGTTTTCAGGAGGAGCTGCCACCACAAGGTGGTGTGCAGAGGAGCAACGCTGAGCTGTAGAGCAGCTATAGAATATGCCGCTTCTAGTGCTAACCTATTTTATAAGGACGACTGTGTAAATCCACAAAGGTTATTAAACATGATCACCTCCACTCCCTCAAAATTGATGTAATGAGTATTTGCAAGTTTATCGTGGCTGTTAGAGGCAGTATGGCAAACTGCCGTTGTTGGATGTTGAATGGCAGACTACTCCAACCTGCATAGCTGAGTTTTGTCCTTGTTAGAGGAGTAACACACAAGGAGGCTGGTAAAATTTCAAGCAAGGTCAAGTGAAGCAGAAGAAACTGATGTGGAAACATTCAGCGCCTGGATCCCCAAGAGTTCATTCTCCGGGAGTTGTGAGTTGTTGGAGAGCGGCACAACTGTTAGTTCTTGCTTTTGTTATGCTGTTCCCAAATGGCATGAATGTTCAGATTTTCCAGCTTTATTGTTTTCCTAGAAAACGTGAAGATGGCCCTGTAGAACTGAGCGTCAGCAGGTGGGTGCTGTCAGGCATTGCTAGTTGAAGCACTGAGGCTGGTGAAAGGTTCTTGCAGAGCAAAAAATGTAATATTGGGACTTTAATTTCCTAGCGTGAGAAATAGGAAACTGTACTGTTTAGGGAAAGGTAGGCATTTTGGTGGATACAGAACGGGGGTGGGGGGAAGTAAGGCAGCACAGGAAGACACTCGGCAGCGAGCTGAATGTAAACTTGAAACCAAGGCTTTTAGATCCTGCAGTTGCTTTGTTTAAAAAAAGTGGAGTAGTATCCAGGAAGTTGAGTAATGGATGTCATTCATACCGTCACGTCTGAGAAGCGAGTGTTTTTGCTGACCTCACGCTTTTCAAATCTGTGTCACGCAGACCTCTGCAGCTGATTTCAGGTGTGTTGGGAAGGCTGCATGGTTACTGCAGTTTTATAAAGCAGGCTTGACACCTTAAGAAGCTTTTTGATTACGGAAGAAGCTCACTGACTGAGTGCGTTTGCAGAAATGATGGGCGAAGTCATCCTCTGAGGCTCCAGATGCAGCGTTGAGCCTTCTTGCTAAAATGTGCGGCAGGTGCCCCCACTCACGTACAGGATTATTGCAAATACTAGTTGTGAATGAAATAGCTAAGTGCTTTGGGTTTACAAGGATTTAGTATTGCCCAGGATATTCTCTCAAAGAGGAGAACGTTCAATAAGCAAGCTGCTGTTCTGAACTGCTATCCTGTGCGAGGAGACTCTTCTACAGGATACTTAAGCCTTGATTTAGAAATAGCCAGGAAACCTGGAGATGTTACACCTCCATCCTTGCTAAATACTTAATTATTTAAAGGTCCCACATTCTGCAGAGGTGTACTGTGCCACGTGCTTTTGCTTTGGGCTGGTAGGTATTAGCTGAGTTGCTCAAGTGCGCAGTTTTGTACATTGCAGCTGGCTGTATTTGAAAGAAGTCTGTTGCCGTGTCAGCAGTTTTGTGTGTGTGCATGAAAAGTCAACATTTTCGGAGTGTTATTCTACGTGGTATCTTAATCTACCTTTGCTGTCTCATTGCTCTTCCTCCTCGTGACCTGAAGAAAAAAAACTGGGGGTGATTCTTCTGAGGAATGCATAATGGGTTATTGCTATAAGCAGAAGTAGTGGGTACGTGGGTCTGTTGCCTCTCTAGTTCTTTTAGTAATTCTACCATAAGGTAGTATCAGGACTGTTGGAGTGAAAGTAAAGTCAGATCAGACTTTCCAAGAAGCTTCTCGTGGCAGGTTTCAAAGTACTTCATAGAATCATAGAATGGTTTGGGTTGGAAGGGACCTTAAAGATCATCCAGTTCCAACCCTGCCACCACAGGCAGGGGACACCTTCCACTAGACCAGGTTGCTCAAAGCCCCTTCCAACCTGGCCTTGAACACTTCCAGGGATAGGGCATCCACAACTTCTCTGGGCAACCCGTGCCAGTGCCTCACCACCCTCAGAGTGAAAAATTTCTTCCTTTTATCTAATCTAAATCTCCCCTCTTTCAGTATAAAGCCATTACTGCTTGCCCTGTCACTACATGCCATGGTAAAAAGCCCCTCTCCAGCTTTCTTGTAGGCCCCCTTCAAGTACTGGGAGGCTGCTATAAGGTTTCCCTGGAGCCTTCTCTTCTCCAGGCTGAACAACCCCAACTCTCTCAGCCTGTCTTCACAGGAGAGATGCTTCAGCCCTCTGATCATCTTCGTGGCCCTCTGGACTTGCTGCCCTCCAGCATGCTGACTGCACCCCACAGCTTGGTGGTGTTGGCAAACTTGCTGAGGGTGTGCTCGATCCCACTGTCCATGCCACTGACAAAGATGTTAACCCAGTACCAACCCCTGAGGAACGCCACTCCTCACTGGGCTCCATCTGGACATTGAGCCGTTGACCGCAACTCTTTGAGTGTGACCACCCAGGCAATTCCTCCTTCACCGAGTAGTCCATCCATCAAATCCATGTCTCTCTAATTCAGAGACAAGGATGTTGTACAGGACAGTGTCAAATACTTTGCACAAGTCCAGGTAGATGATGTCTGTTACTCTTCCCTTACCCACCAGCGCTGTGACCCCGTCACAGAAGGCCACCAGATTTGTCAGGCATTATTTGCCCTTTAGTGAAGCCATGTTGGCTGTCACCAATAACCTCCTTATTTTCCATGTGTCTTAGCATAGTTTCCAGGAGGATTTGCTCCATGATCTTGCTGGGCACAGAGGCGAGACTGACTGGCCTGTAGTTCCCTGGGTCTTCTGGTTTTCCCTTTTCAAAACTGGGGGTTATGTGTCCCCTTTTCCAGTCAGTGGGAACTTCACTGGACTGCCACGACTTCTCAAATATGATGGATAGTGGCTTAGGACCTTCATCTGCCAGTTCCCTCAGGACCCACGGGTGCATCTCACCAGGTCCCATGGACTTGTGCACCTTCAGGTTCCTTAGATGGTCTTGAACCTGATCTTCTCCTACAGTGGGCAGTCCTTCATTCTCCCAGTCTCTGCCTTTGCCTCCTGCAACTGGGGTGGTGTGGCTTGAACACTTCATGGTGAAGACTGAAGCAAAAAAAGTTGAGTACCTCAGCCTTCTCCTTATCCCAGGTAACCAGGTTTCACGTTTCTTTCTGGAGAGGACCTGCGTTTTCCCTAGTCTTCCTTTTGTCACCGACATACCTATAGAATCTTTTCTTGTTGTCCTTGATGTCCCTGGCCAGATTTAATTTCTATTAGGGTTTTAGCTTTCCTAACCTGATCCCTGGCTGCTCGGACAATTTCTCTGTATTCCTGCCAGGCTTCCACCCTCTGTAGGCTTCCTTTTTGTGTTTGAGTTTGTCCAGGAGCTCCTTGTGCATCCATGGAGGCCTCCTGGTGTTTTCACCTGACTTCCTCTTTGTTGGGACGCATCGCTCCTGAGCTTGGAGGAGGTGATCCTTGAATATTAACCACTTTCTTGGGCCCCTCTTCACTCCAGGGCTTCGTCCCTTGGTACTCCACCAAGCAGATCCCTGAAGAGGCCAAAGTCTGCTCTCCTGAAGTCCAGGGTAGTGAGCTTGCTGTGTGCCCTAAGGATCTTCAACTCCACCATTTCATGGTCACTGCAGCCAAGGCAGCTTCACATTCCCCACCAGCCGCTCCTGTTGGTGAGAATAAGGTCCAGCATAGCACCTCTCCTTGTTGGCTTCTCTGTCACTTGGGGAAGGGAGTTACCATCAACGCATTCCAGGAACCTCCTGGATTGCTTATGCCCCGCTGCGTTGTCCCTCCCAACAGATACTGGGGTGGATGACGTCCCTTGTGAGGACCAGGGCTTGTGACCGTGAGGCTGCTCCTATCTGTCTATAGAGAGGGCCTCATCCACTTGGTCTTCCTGGTCAGGTGGCCTGTAGCAGACCCCCCACTATAATGTCACCTGTCCCTGCCCTCCCTTTAATCCTCACCTACAAGCTCTCAGTCGGCTCCTCATCCATCCCCAGGCGGAGCTCCATGCCCTCCAGCTGCTCACTGACACAGAGGGTGCCACCTTCTTTTTGTCTCCCCTGCCTGTCCTTCCTAAAGAGCCTGTATCCTTCCTTTCCAATGCTCCAGCCATAGGAGCCATCCCACCACGTCATCCTGATGCCAATAAGATCATAGCCCTGCAAGCATGCGCACATCTCTAACTCCTCTTGTTTATTCCCCATGCTACGTGCGTTTGTGTCAAGGCATTTAAGCTGGGCCCCTGATGAAGCTGGCTTACTGGCTGCAATTCCTTTGTGCTGCTCTTTGGGTGCTCTCCTGCTGACTGGTGATCCTTCTCCAGGCTCTGGGCACCTGTTGCTGGCACTGGCATCAAACTGGTAGGAGTGGAATGGATTGAGGTTCCCCTGCCCTGGCAACTTCAGTTTAAAGCCCTCTTCACCAGCTTGGCAAGCCTGAGACTGAAGCTGTTCTTCCCCTCCTCTGACAGACAGACCCCATCACCCCCCAGTAGACCAGGTTTCTCAGAGCCAGTCCCAGGGTCTAAGCAGCCCAACCCCTGGCTGTGGCACCACTCCTGTAACCATTTGTTCGCCAGATTTGACTGGCCCTTTCAAACCCCTTTGACTGGGAGGATTGACCTGCACTCCAGAGTCCCTTACCACCGCTCCCAGGGCTCTGTAATCCTTCTCGGTGCTCCTGAGATGGCTCCTGGCAGGATCACTGGTGCCCACGTGAAACAACAGCAGCGGATAATAGTCAGTGGACTGTACGAGGCTTGGTAGTCTCTTGTTGACATCCCTGATACGAGTCCCCAGTAAGCAGCGCACCTCTAGAGAGCGCGTCAGGGCGGCAATGGGCCCCTCTACGCCCCCCAGAAGAGAGTCGCCTACTACTGTCGCCTGTCGCCTCTTCTCAGTCGCGCTGGTTGTTACACGGGGAGCAGGTCGGGCTGCCTTGCTCAGCTCCAGCATCCCTCCTGCTCTGACGGGTCTTTCCTCCTTACTCTGCAGAGCGGTGAAGTGATTCTGCAAGGGCACCTCGGGCTTTGGGGGAAGACTCTTCCTCCTGCTGGTCCTTGCCGTTGCAACTGCCCTGCATTATTGGCCCCCCTCCCTTCTGTGCGGCTGGTGGGGGAGTTTTTGGCTGTTTGGCCATGGATCCTCTGCAGACTGTGCTTGGAACCAGCTTATCTAAACCCTTAGAATCGCTTTGTTTGGAAAAGACCTTTAAGATTATCAAGTCCAACATTTTACCTAACCCTGACACCCCACCGCTAAACCATGTCCCTAAACCATGTCCCTTCTCAGCCTCCCTGACGTTACGCAGCCTTCTCGCCGCCTCCTGCAGCTCAGCCACCTGCCCCGGGCACCTTTTGCAGCAGCTCTGCTGCCTGCCCCTGCCCCAGGAGAAAGGCCTGGGTGCTTCCCGCAGTCTGAGGTCCGCACCACAGCCTCTCCCCGCAGCAGCTCCGTCTGGGTGGAGGCATCGGCCACCGCTGGGGTGGGTGGTGGGGACCCCCCAGCTGGAGCTGCAGCCTTTGCTGTCAGACCAGTGCCCACTACTTTGGTTATCCCCTTCAGTGACGCCTTGTGCTGTGGCTGCTGGAAGTTCCCTGCTAGTCTGGTGGCTCTCTTTGGCACATCCTTTCCTTGCTAAGATGGGCACCCGCAGTATGTCCATCACTGACCGGCCAAGGTATTTGTGCTCATTCAGCATTCCTTGAGAAAGCACTGGACTCGCTTCTGCCTTACCTCACTTCAGTTCTCCCTTTGCGATGTCCTGTTCTATGTTCGCTTGGCGCAGCCTGCCTACCATTTCGCTGCCTGAGTTTCTCAACTTGTGTGTGAAGCACTTAGCAGACAGGGCTGAAGCACAAAGCTGATGCGCAGGCTCGCTCTGACGATTGCGACAGCAGAGGAGCAGCGTGATGCTAGGGAGCTGTAATTTCCCTTTGTTAGTTAACTCGGGAACTCCTCTGCAGAAGGGGGTTTTACTGACTTCCTGGTTATTTGGCTTTGCGGTGGTTGAAAGCGCGGTTGCAGTTTTTAAGGAGACCTACCCGTCTGCAATAAAACTGTGCGAAGGACCCCTTAAGCACCAAAAACGTAGTAGTGTCAGCTGGAGCCATTCCAGTTCATGAAGCTCGAATGCAGGCGGCTGTAGACGTGGGGTTCTTGGGGAAGGGTCTGGGTTGCAGGACAGCACTTAACCTTTTCCAGAAAGGAAGACTTCACACTTAAACTTACAGAAATAAATAGGAAGGGGGAAAATAACTGGCACTGGGATGGTGATAGAGCTGTGTCAAACCTGTAGCTGTTGTCTCATTCCACTTCCAGATTACATGAACAATTTAGTCTAAAGGCACTGTCTGGAGAATGATTCCCAGCAGTCATCGTTACAGCCCAGGAAGGTGCAGGACACAAAGACCTGTACACGTTAGCCTGGACTTCAAAGAGCCTGGAATGGCAAAAGTGAAGTAGGTATTTACTGCTCGTTGGGGGAGACGCGTAACCCTGTCTCTTGTCTGATTTCAGCATGCCAACGAAGATGTGGAGAGGATGCTGTTAGGAAACAAGTGTGACATGGAAGATAAAAGAGTTGTCCCTAAAGCAAAAGGCGAACAGGTAAGTGTTGGACAAAAACTTGCTTAGCAAAGCGGTGCCAAGACTTCCCGCCATCTCCAGGTGGCTGAGATGCCACAACAGGATGTGCCAGGGAGCAACCAAGGCAGCTGGGTTTGCTAATGGTTTGCAAGTCTAGGGAATGTTTCCTTGGAAGCTGCACTGCAAGCGACTGCCATGAATGGAATGATTTCAGCTGTAGTTTCGGCTTCCCTTGATAACTAAAAATTTTCAGGCGTCCTTTGTTAAGTTACTTACCGTGTGACAGGCTTGTGTGGTATCTGTCGTCTTATGTTCAGGCATCGACTTGTGATTTAATACGCTTTAATTGCTGGTTCTGAATCATTAAGTTCCGAATCTTCTTTTGTGACGCTTTGCCTAGCTAGTGCTTCTGATGCCTGCTACGGCTGAAAGACTGTTATGTGCTTGGAAGTGCTGCTAATCCCGAGGTTATAGCAGCACCGATGAATAACTCTACAGTAATGCTAACCACCTTCTTTCTCTTTTGGTTTAGATTGCTAGGGAGCATGGTATTAGGTTTTTCGAAACTAGTGCAAAAGCAAATATAAACATTGAGAAGGCATTCCTCACATTAGCAGAAGACATTCTTCGAAAGGTAGGTGTCTACAGGATTCATTTGAAAAAAATACCCTAAAATTTCAGCTCCTAATGCTTTTCATGTTTACCTGAACTGTTGCAGCTTTTTTACTTTGGCATGCAAGGACAAACGCGTCCCCGAAGGAGGAGTGTTGTACATCTAAAGCTTCTAAGCTTCTAAAGCTTGTTTGATGTAGAGGGAGTAGCATACATCAGAGAGCCACGGGATGTAAACTCGTAGCTGTTTGGCCCTTAAACTCATGGTTGTGTCGTACGTGTGCTGGGAGACAAAACATTTCAGTTGGCGTGGAAGAGAATTGTCCTTTCCCTGCCACCATCTCCATCAACACACAACGTTGTCTGAAAACTCTTAAGCGCCTGTTGGGCAGAGTTGAGATGCGGTCGGTAGAACAGATGAACGAGCTCTGTCACTTCCTGCCTTGTTTCCAAGGATTAGCCCTCTCAGCCTCCGCATTTCCTTGGAGGTTTTATTGGCTGGTTATATTGCAGCTCAGAGAAGAGCCTGGATCACCAGTTCTTCCTGGTGGTTGGCCCCCCCTCCTGAAACATACAGCGTACCATAAAGATGGTGGTCTTGTCTGTGGCCAGTAGAAAATACATCGGCTTTCTATT